TGTTACTGTACATGCACAATAAATTTTAAATTTTGGTGGGTAATTTTTGATAATTTTTGTAGCCCATGATGTCACCCAAGAAGCTGTTTGCTACTAAGAAGAGGGAAAAATATCTGTGCAAATGAAGGATATCATTCAGAAGCATGAAGAAGGTACCTGTGTTTTTGACCATGTCAATCTTTATGAATGCTCAGCATTAACAATTTACACTATCCTAAAGAACAAGATATAAATAAAAAGCTTGATGTAGCCAAAAAAGTATAATTACCAAGTATCATCCAAAAGCCCTCAAAGATGTTGAGAAGCTGTTGTTAATACAGATGAATGATATACAAATGATACATTTGTAGACCATAGTAAACTATTTTATAATAAAATTTAATTTTATCAAAAAGGTACAAGAATTACATGTATGCTTTATGTAAAATTAAAAAAAAAACCCCCAAAAACTGTTATGAGGTGATTCCTCACGTACACATGGTTCTGTCTATATAGTGTCCAAAATTTCAAGGGCACTGTATGTGCATCTTATAAGAAAAATACCAGGCACATCTTTTGAAGATGAAAATGCATTTAAGGCAAGCTGAGGATGGTTCAAAAAATTTAAAAAAAGATGTGGCATCCACAGTGTAGTGAGACATGTAGAGGCTTCAAGCTCTGATAAAGCTGCCTTGTTTCAGAGATGTTTTGAAGTGACTGAAAATATAACCCTGACCCTAAGAGAATTTTGGAAGGATCACTTCAGTATCCTAAATTGCTTAAATCTTACTGATAAAGCCTGGAAAGGAGTCACAATGATATATATAATTACATTATTTGTGTATAATCTTTAAAAAAGTACTTTAATTTTGCATAATGTACAATTTTTATATCAAAATTTTTGGGGCTTGAATAAATTTATTTAATTTCTGTTATTTTTAATGGGAAAATTGTTTTGACATGAAATTTCCAGTTATGAATCTGCTCCTGGAATATATTAAATTTGTAGGTCGAGGTTCTGCTGTATAATTAAACATTTTTCTATGGCATCATTTTTTTTTTAATTACCCAATATATATTTATGCAGCTCCAATACATGAATTTTGCAAATATATTAACAGACTGATTGTAAATATCAAAATGAAAAATCTATCATGCATTTATTCTCTTGTTTTCATACCTTTTTATGGATTTCAAAGGAATAACAGCTTGAGAAAATATGAATATTTTTAACAAAAACACAATCTGATATATGACAAGTTTTTTTTTTTTCGCTTTTTTGCAAAGAAATATAAAGAAAAGGAAGAAAAATAAAGGAAAAAATCAAAGTAAATTTAATTTATAGATTAAAAAAATTGTAATGGTGATCTTATGCTGGAATGATAAAGCCAGCTAATTAAAACATTCGATAAAAAAAAAAAAAAAAAAAAAAAAAGTAAATTTTTTAGTTTTTATTGCCTAAAACTATACACTGATGATTTTATAGATTTTATTTTCTGGATTGGGTAAAAACAAATTCATGATTTCAAGACAACTTATCAACTAGGATACCATAGAGAAGCATAATGAATGTTATGAAATAATTAAAAGAAAAAGCAACTATTTAAATTATTGGTTACATATTAATATAAGTTCTTACTGAAATATAGGATTAGAAGGCATTCATTGTAAAAATGGCCCACAAACTACAGTATCTATCTTCATCTGTTGTTAACAAATTTTGTTTAATATTTATATGACACATTAATATTTTAGGAATAAGAATTCATGTAATTAAATTTTTGAGTATCTAGTATTATACTCATTGCAAATGACTTGCAAAATTAGGTTCTTTTTCCATTAAGTGACAAATACATTTGTTGCATTTTTATTCTATTTCACATTTCTTTTGTTTTAACACCTGGGTGCTCATACAAAGAAGCTCAGGCTGAAGAACAGTAGGTTTCCAGTTAACTTTACAAAGATGTGCTCAATGTTAATCTCTGGCCAACGAACTATGATAATTACTTAAAGATTAATACATTCACTAACAAAAAAAAAAAAAAAAAATAGGCTTATCAAACATTTAAAAATAATTTCTAGGATATCATAGGGACATTCATTGAAGCACCAATAATATGAAATTACAAATCAATATTTAATTTGAAGTATAAGCAAATTTTCAAAACTTACTAATAAGTTGTATTAATCCAGCAGTATTTTAAAGCAATCAAAGAACCCCTTTTTAGATGTAAAAGTAGGTTACATTTAAACTGAATCAGAGATTGAATGTGCACTATAATGATTATTAGAAAAGACATCAACATAAATGTTTAATTGGAGTATAACTATTTGTTGAATTTATTTAATTTTTCTGTGAACAAAATAGCTTAACTCAAAATTGTAACTTGTATATAAAAATTGTCCTGATTAAAAGGTGTTAAGGTTTTTAAATGTTGTTCCTCAGGACAATTTTAAAATTACTGAAGTTATATTTTCTTTCTATACATTTATACATGCATTGTTATCCTCGGGTACACATGGTTAAGTTCTGTCTACATAGTGTCCAAAATTTCATCAAGAAAGAAAATATTCAAGTGGAAAAAAAAATTCCTGTATTTAAGTTTTTATATAGTTTTATACAGCAAAATCCATCCATATTTCAAGCTTTTTCACATCTTGGGTGCTGGATGAAAAGGTGAACAGCATTATACAACAATAGCTGGCTATACAATGATAGAATGATGCTGAGAAGCCAGGCATTGGCTAATTCAAGGTAGCATCAGCAAGACTAATCAGTATTAGTAAGCATGCATAGACACACCATGCAGAAATAAAGGAATAAATACATTTCAAATAAGAAAAATCACAAATTTATTCTGAAATAGTTCAAAATTTTCTGCCAGCAAATAAATTCAGAGAATAAATGTCTTTTTCAATTTAAAATGTAAATAGTAGAAAAAGTATTATGAAAATGGAGAGAGAGCATGCAACTACTTAAAGCTGATATTTTTCTGCAATATTTAAATAAAATATAAAAATGGTTACAGTGTCCTTGAAAGAAAAAAAAAATGAATACAAAATGTATCCTGGTGCTGAAATAGGAGTTGCAAAATTTATGATGAAAGAAGTTTCCCAAATTATTCAAAACTATTTGCATTGCAGTTTCACAAATACTCATCAGTTGTCTTGGATAAAAATATTTTCATAAAGATTATCAAGTTTTATAATTCCAAAGCACATAGACAAAAAAAAAAAAAAAAAAAAAAAAAAAAAAAGTGCTGATTAAACTAATTATTTATGAAAGAACAGAAAATTATCTATATAGACTAATTAGTTTTTATTTTTTATATTTTTTACTAGAAAGATAATGCAGAATACATTACTTTTTTAATATAAATACAAGTTGAAAACTTTAATGAAAACAGTCAAATGTTATTTTCAAGAATAAATCTGAATTTTATAGGGTATTTTATCGATCATTAACTTAGAACTTTTATTTCACTAGAAGCAAACATACTTGTGAAATGCAGTTTTTTTTTCTCTCCAAGAATTTTCTTTACCAGAAACATCTAGATAAATTGTAAGCATATTTTAATCAGTATACAAATATTGTAAAGGAAAAGGATGACAAAGTGAGGAAAAATTTTTTTCATGTGACATGTTTTGACCTTTAAGAAGTTATGTTTACGTTGAATATAACTACACATGCACACAAAGGAGAGGGGATGCTGAAATTTTAATCTTAAATTTGTTTTTTTTCTATACAATTTTGTCTTAGTAAACTTCTTTTTTTAATTAAAGTAGCATAAAAAAAAAAAAAATTGTGTTTAGACTCATTACAATGAGCAACTAATGCATTTAGTGTATTGTAAAAGATCACTTTTGTGTTCATATAATCTTTTATTTAAATTCCTTGAGGTTTCTCCTATATATTCCTTGTCATTGATTTTCTTAACATTGTTCTGGTATATAAAAATTTATATCATTTTTCTCATACATGGAAAAATATCTAGTATTGTATATAACAAAGCAGTTAACTAACTTATTAAATATTTAATATGCTTTTTTCTTCTACTAACTGATAATTAAAATCTATTCAATTATTTAAAAAAAAAAAAAAAAAAAAAAATTGGTTTTCCAAAGTAAAATATATTTAATTATCTATATGATAGCATAACTATTCCAGCTATTTACACCTGAATATTTTCATAATTTACTTCTATTTATTTCCTTCTCAAATCAATGTGATTTTTTAATCACAACACATACACGTCTTTTGTTGTGAGTTTGCAATAAGCATCACCATTAAGAGAAATAAACAACTAAAAATGATTTAAAGTTCAACCTAAAATATCTGTTGTGCCTTCAATTGTAATATATTTAAAAGAAAACTTTAAAAAGCATTCAAAGAGATTTAGTATTATTTATTAATATTAACATTAATACTTGCATCTAAACATTAAGCTAGATATGTAGTTATTAGCTAAAGTTTGATCGATCTAATATTCACCTCTGAATTAAGTGCATTGATGAGGAAGGAGATTTTATGTTAAAAAATATTTTTTGTGTAAAATAAATACTTTTTTCTTTATTAGGTTAAAGATGAATTGATTTATATGTATAATTGATTCTATAACTATTCTTTAACAGATTTAGAGCACTATATGCTCACAACTATCAATAATATCTATACACAAAAGAAATTGTAAAACCATTTCTTAACATCAGCCTTAATTTTAATTAAATCATTAACAAATTATTCATGTGTCTTAATTAAACAGCAAATTAGGTATTGGTTTCTATTAGAGAAACAAAAATTTTATAAATAAATAATGAAATAAATATAATTTAATAAAGTGGTGGTGGTGTCCATTTGTTGCTATAAACAGGGAATGGATCAAAAAGATTTTATCTGCAATGTAAAAGGTCTTAACTGAAATTTAAAATAAATAAATTATAAAATTTGGACAAAAATGCATTTAAGCAAACATTAAAAGATGTCTGCTTTAAACTTGTTGAAATAAAAATAAATTTCTCACCATAAGCTGTTCCAGGGCCATAGTCATTGCCAGAGTCAATCATGACCTGTCCTAGCTGTTCAGCATTTGTATAGCGGTCCCTTTTCTTTTTATCCATTTTTTCGTAAAAGAAGTCCTCCATACGCACACCTGTAGAAAAGGAAGCAGGCAAACCACATCATTTATAGAAAAACATAAAATGTAAACAAAGATATGAAGATTTAATTTTATTTAACATAATTAGAGTAAGTAATTAAAATGATTACTACTAATAAACACCATCTTGAATATAACTAAAGGCTTTAAAATGTTTGAAAGGTAACATTTTGAAAATGTTTTAGTTATAATTTTACAATTTTTTTTTTTTTTTTACAGCTTAAGACAAATATTAATCAATAGAGAATACATTTTATAAGGATTAAGTTCACAAGAATAGATTTGTCCTCTGATATATACTTTTAGGTTATGATTAAAACATGTAATCAATTTTTAAAAAGACCTTATTAGTAAATCTTGACACCAATTAGCAATGAAATTAATCATGAATTTAATACTAGTTTTATATATTTTAAATGTTCCATCAATCAAAAATTACTTGTTTGTATAATATAACATTAACTATATTTTTGAGAAGAGTGGTTATTCCTCTCAAACTAAAATTACACATTTATAAACAGGTAGCCTTTGAAGGAAGGATCAAAAATATATATATATATATATATATATATATATATATATATTTGTGAAGCAAAATCGATAGTGTACACTACATAACTCGGTCGATCATTGCACGTGGAGCAAAATCAATTGTACACACTACACATCTCGATCGATCTCGCACACGTGTCTTATACCTACGTGCACTTCTCTCATCGGTGCACACTTTCGTTTGCACTTATTCTTTTTTTCTTAAGGAAGGATATAATTTTTGCCGTCAAGTTAATGCAAACTAAACTATTTCAGTACCAAAACAGGAAATCCATGGAAAAAACTGATATTTTTCATAATGTATTTATGACACATGGGGTATCAGTTTTGATTTTGAGTTGATTGATCTAAATGCAAATTATGTGCAAATTTTCATTGAAATGCTGCTAACAACTACAATTGAAAGACTAATGGGGCAGCAAGGTGTTCATGGGTCATCTTGGGGGCCACTTATGTAGTTTTCAAAATCTGATAATCATTTTTGATTCATTTTAAGATTGTAATATACATGTAAAATTCCATCGAAATTGAAGCAATTTGAAAATTTGGGGGTCCTTTTGGTTCACCCTAGGGGTCCTAAATTTCAAGCCAAAGGACAGGTTTAAGACTAATAGTAATTGAAATAATAAAGCACATCTTTTTTAAGTTTTCTATTTAATTGACTTTATGGCCAAGGCTGTAGACTTAATTGAAAATTTCGGGGTTCTCAGCTGGTCCCCTAACTTGTGGGGGTGTTGATTTTCAGTGAATTCCAAGTGACTACTTCAGTTACTCGATATAATCTGTACTGAAATTTTCATTGAAATTGGGGAATACTGCTACAAAATACACTTGAAAAGCAACTGAGGCATCAAGGGATTTATAGGGTCATCCTAGTGGCCCCCTCATGCATTTTTAAAAATCTGACAACCGAATTCTATCTCATTGTAAGAGCATAACAAACATGCAAAATTTCATCAAATCGAAGCAATTTGAATTTTTTTTTGTTTCTTTGGGGCACCCTGGGGGTCCCAGTGTCAAGAGAAACGAAAATCAATAAAGTGTATAACAAGCGTGACAGTAAGTTGCATACACTTATCAAGTTTCATTAAAATCGGCCTTAGGGTTTAGACTTCAAATCTGACAGTTTAAAAACAACCAAGCTGATGGAAATTCCCATTTAAACATTATATTTATCAATTATTGATTTTTGAAAAATGACTAATTTTTTTTGCCCAGACACACCCAGTATCATGTACAATCTATGTTCCAAATTTGGTGGAACTATGTCTTATGGTTCTCGAGTAGTTTACGAACACACACCCAGTCAGATAGATAGATAGATAGATATAGATAGATAGATAGATAGATAGATGCTGTTATTTGTTACTGTCAATTAAGGCTCAAAATTATATTGACTATGTGTTTTGGCTTCTGTTATACATCCAAAGTTTAATCTATGGATTAACCAACATGGAAGTACACCAATATAAATAGAAAAATTGGCATTTACAAGGATGTTAAACATGACAGCAAGCAAAGAATGAGAATAATAAAGACTTCTGGAAGAAAACTTCTGTTCAAATCCACTGATGATCACTAACAGCTAGTTGAACTGGGATAAAAACCATAATGATTTTAGTCTGAATGTATCATTGGATAGTAATAAAAATTATGTGTAGGACTGCTGCAATTTCATTATGACTTCTACTATATGGTCTTCATTATACAAACAGTCCAACTTCTGAGACAAGTGGGAAGTCCATCCTTTCAGCAATGGAGCATGTTCAGTTAAGTATTTATTTTGGTTGATATTATTGTACTGTATTGAACAGCAGACACTTAGAAAAATTAGACATATGAAACATTTCTTGATGGCTGCTAACAATATTTATATACTGACAATTTGTACATTATGTGTCAATGAATTTTTTCCCCATACCTCAGAGACTAGTAAATGAAAGATTTTAAAGAACACATCTGTTATATATAATTGGTATTAGTTTTCAATCGCCTAATTGTAGGAAATATATGAACAGAACATAAAATGAAGAGGCTTACTGGGATTGGGTTGGAGAAGAGTCTCTGATGATCGGAGAAGTTTTTCTGTCCATTGCTTTGTCTTGTCTGACCGTTGCAATAAATTCTCAAAATGAGCATCTAATTCAGTCTTTTCAGCCTGCCCGAGTTTCTCCTCAGTGTACTACAATAGGAAAAAAAAATAAAGATTGTTCAGAGCAAAAATAATACATTGCAGTCAAAAATGAAACCTGTAATACAAAAATTAAATTTTTTACATTCATTTGCCTATTTTCAAATCATGACAATCCCAAACTCATAACCAAAAGTCCTATTTTCATAAAAGCAAATATAAAAATTGCATGAAAAGAATAATTATTTCTTATGTTTTACATACAAAAATGCAGCAAAATTACAAAAATAATTGGTAAGGAAAATCTGAATAAATTGTGTAAAAAAAATAGACTGAGCAATAAATAAAACTCTTGAAAACATGTTTCCTCTAGAGATATACCAAAGTATATACTTATTTAAAAGATGCTTTTGGTATATAACTGCAATCTATTTTCATATAATTTTATGATTATCTGCAGGGTGAGCTGCATCTAGATATACTGGATTATTGATTTGACGCATAAAGTGAACAAACATGTCAGGAGAGATAAAATTTTATTTTTGAAGTGCAAGTCATATTTGGTTAGAATAGTTCTGTTCCTTTTTCTGTTTTGTTAAAAGAACAAGATGATAAATACAGCTGCCACTTATTAGACATCAATTAAATGATGTTATTGCAAGCATAGTGCAGAAACTGACAGAAAAAACTTCTCTCAGAGTAGACCTGAGAAGAAAAAACACTGGTCAATTTCAGTTTTCCTGCATTAGGGTAACACAGCATAGAATGAGAATTAATAGAATCTAAAAAAAATATATTATATATATATATATATATATATATATATATATATATAAAGAGAGAAAGAAAGAGAGAAGAGAAAGAAAGAGAGAGAGAAAGAAAGAAAGAGAGAAAGAAAGAAAGAGAGAAAGAAAGAAAGAGAGAAAGAAAGAAAGAGAGAAAGAGAGAAAGAGAGAAAGAAAGAAAGAGAGAAAGAAAGAAAGAGAGAAAGAAAGAAAGAGAGAAAGAAAGAAAAGAAAGAGAGAGAGAAAGAAGAGAAAGAGAGAGAGAAAGAAAAGAAAGAGAGAGAGAAAGAAGAGAAAGAGAGAGAGAAAGGAGAGAAAGAGAGAGAGAAAGGAGAGAAAGAGAGAGAGAAAGGAGAGAAAGAGAGAGAGAAAGGAGAGAAAGAGAGAGAGAAAGAGAAAGAGAGAGAGAAAAGGAGAAAGAGAGAGAGAAAGGAGAGAAAGAGAGAGAGAAAGGAGAGAAAGAGAGAGAGAAAAGGAGAAAAGAGAGAGAAAGAGAGAAAGAGAGAGAAAAAGAGAAAAGGAGAGAAAGAAAGAAAGAGAGAGAGAAAGGAGAGAAAGAAAGAAAGAGAGAGAGAAAGGAGAGAAAGAAAGAAAGAGAGAGAGAAAGGAGAGAAAGAAAGAAAGAGAGAGAGAAAGGAGAGAAAGAAAGAAAGAGAGAGAGAAAGGAGAGAAAGAAAGAAAGAGAGAGAGAAAGGAGAGAAAGAAAGAAAGAGAGAGAGAAAGGAGAGAAAGAAAGAAAGAGAGAGAGAAAGGAGAGAAAGAAAGAAAGAGAGAGAGAAAGGAGAGAAAGAAAGAAAGAGAGAGAGAAAGGAGAGAAAGAAAGAGAAAGGAGAGAAAGAAAGAGAAAGAGAGAGAAAGAAAGAGAAAGAGAGAGAAAGAAAGAGAAAGAGAGAGAAAGAAAGAGAAAGAGAGAGAAAGAAAGAGAAAGAGAGAGAAAGAAAGAGAAAGAAAGAGAAAAGAAAGAGAAAGAGAGAGAAAGAAAGAGAGAGAAAGAAAAGAGAGAAAAAAGAGAAAGAAAGAGAAAGAGAGAGAAAGAAAGAGAAAGAAAGAGAAAGAAAGAGAAAGAAAGAGAAAGAAAGAAAGAGAGAGGAAGGAGAGAGAGAGGGGGGAAGGAGAGAGAGAGGGGGGGAAGGAGAGAGAGAGGGGGAAGGAGAGAGAGGGGGAAGGAGAGAGGGGGGGAAGGAGAGGAGAGAGAGAGAGAAGGGAGAGAGAGAGGGGAAGGAGAGAGAGAGAAGGGGAGAGAGAGAGAGAGGGGGAGAGAGAGAGAGAAGGGGGAGAGAGAGGGGGAGGAGAGAGAGAGGGGAGAGAGAGAGAAGGGGAGAGAGAGAGAAGAGAAGGGAGAGAGGGTGGGGATTTAAGTAATGTTGTGTACATTTAACAGATTAAAAAAAAAAAAAAAAATTGGTTATTTACACAAGAAATAATGAACTTTTTAAAAAAATGCACATCAAAATATACTGTATAAACACAAGACAAACAGTGAATCTTATTAACAAGTTTAAAATTGGATTTCTGTCTAAATTTCTTGAATGAGGAGTTATTATTTACATTATTTACATGTGGACTATTGTCCTCATCTTTGTTGTTATTGTCACAATATTTCTGCTGTTGTGTCCTCTAACCTTCATCAGGTACTTGTTGATCTGAAGAATAATAGATCAGTACTAAAATAAGAGCTAGACAAGATATCCCTAAAATGGTCAGTGGAATGAGAACAATGTACCCCTGTAGATTGTTTAAAAGGTTCAGTTAAAAATTCCCTGAAGTTTACTGGGATCAACAAATGTAGGCTGGAGAGTATAACAGCCAAAATGTTGTGATGAGGACAGTAGTCTTCATGTAAATAAGTTTGTACTCAACATTTGCCAAATAATTTGTTATGCTATATCCTTTCAGGAGATAGTTAATCATGGTTTTGCACACATCCCTTTTCTTTTTTATCTGAATTACTATTTAACCCATAGCTAGAGAAAGGAGAGATGCATTCATGTTTTCCCAAAGGCATTTTTTGGAAGTGAATGCAGCAGACTAGCCAATTTCAATGAATAACTGCATGTTTCAAAGAGTTAGCAAGTCTAAAAGTGAGTAAATAAAAGTTCTGAAATATAATGAAAATAATAGATGTGTACATCATCCAGGAAATAATTTTATTTTTTAAATCATATTGTACAGATTCATTTAACAGATAATGAATTATAGCTTTATACCAAAAAATTAATTATAAAATTAATCTTCTAATTATTAACAAGTCATAAGAAATGCATCCTTCACAATTTCCTAAAATGTACAGGATTTGTTATAAAATAGTGGAAAAAGTTAAAACTTTGATAAGAGTAGGTTTGTAGTCATGACCATAGCTGGTCTAACTTTGGGAAATATATAACTGTAGCCTAATTAAATTACAAGATTATAAGAACTTTGCTATAGATTTAAAACAATTATATGAAGCAAGATGTATAAAATTATAGTTGTTGAAAAATGCATGGCTACACACAATGCCTCTGTTGCTTACACTTAGGATGAACAAACTACAAAGATACTTTTGTAATGCCCGTTTGTAGGAGAGATTTTGTAAATCACAGATACAATAATAGTAACACTTTTGAACAATACTCTGTCAAATACCACACTAATTCCCATATATATATATTTTTCCTTTACCCGTCATGTGATCTAAAATGAGGTCGACTGCGCTTGCTCTCTGGTGATCTGCGTTCAAATCCAAATGTCAGCAATACTTATATGACAGATACCAAAATATTCTAAGAACATTTGCAAGCAGTTATTAGTAGAAAGTGAGTTAACAGTCTATTAGATCTTAAGATCATTCTTTCACAAGCCTTTTTTTTTTTAAAGAATACAATTGCAAAATTACATTTTTGATAGCCTGAATAAATTGTATTTTTTTAAAATATTTCATCAAAAGAAAAATAATAGCTATTTAAATTATTCATTTGTACTACCTTACTATATAAAACAATACTTGTCTAAGATACTTAATGACTAAATTGATAGTTATTTAGATTGCATCTTAATATTACTATATTTCAAGTGAAGAACAAATAAAACATTAACTTTTACATGATTAATTGGCTGAAAATAACTAGGTTTGAGGTTCTATCTCAAATAATTTTTAAGGCTGGTTTTCAGTTATAATCTTCCACAGTTCTTCAAAAAGAATATGACTAAGAGTTTAAATTTAATGAGCAATAGAGAATTAAGAGAAGCCAGATTTGTAAATGAGTAAGGAAGAATAAAAAAAGACATCCATGTTATTGGTATAAGAATTAAAACTGGAAGAAGACCAGTTGTTTCTAGCATTAAAACTGCTATCTTGCCATTTTTACAAATGGTTAGTGATGACTTAAGAGTTATCAATATTAGAGAAAGCTGATGCAGTGACTAAAAAGATAATGTATGCCTTAATCAAAATTGAATTAGCTAGAGATATCTCTCCATAATATGACATAGGAGAATAGTTATTAAATTTCACTTATCTAAGTGTAAATCAATGTAGAAAAAGAGTCTTAATTTAGGCCTTGGTAACAGATTAATGCAAAGAGAAAACTCTTGACATAAGTATTCTTTCTTGTATTATATAATAATAGTCACATTATGTCATGGCTCTAGTCTACTATTTTGATGCTAAAACCAAATCTGCAAGAATATCTGGATTATGCTAATTTGTGAAGTGTTTAAAGCAGAGATCAAAATTTGATAATATTATGACTGCTGCTAAAAATATAAAATTTTCTGAACTGAAAATTCAAATATACTAAAATCTTTTTTTAAAGTTTGCTATATAATTTTTAATAATTTTACTTTTTGATTACTGGAATGATAATTTGTTTGGCATTTATTGTTATGCATATAAGGTTTGAGAATTCAGATATTGTTGTGGAAGCAAAATTGAAAAATCAAGAACACTTAGACAATACCATAAGGTTCAGATTTCAGAAGATAGTAGATTGATAAAAATGCTCCTTAAAGATACATAAATAATGGTTATCAGTGCTAAAATCCGAGAAATTGTTAACTGTTTTTGAATGATATTTTGAGTCTTAGCTATTCTTGGTTTCACTTAGTTATAAAAAAAAAAACAAAAAAACTTTACTATTTTATTATGCTAATTTTTTTTGTTTTTGATGATGTGTGTGTGTGTATATATATATATATATATATATATTAAATATAATTTTATGTGTTTATTGTTATTTTAGTGTTTTGACATTTCTAATAAACTTGAGTAAAATGACCTAAGGTGACTTTTATTTTTCTATATAATATTTAAGAAAAACTGACATCTTTGAAAATGACTTCACTCAAAGCAACTTAAGCCAAGATATCACTGTATAACTCTACACAC